ACTCAGCAGTTTAGGATGTCCGGCTGCCTCTGTGGTTCAGTAGTTCCGTCTTCTTTGTTTATCTTCTTCTCACTTTGATGTTCACATTCCTTTACAACCTTGCAGCTGCAACTGCTCAAACTCAAGGCCCAAGCTGTCCACAGCCCAGTCGCCTCCCACACCATACAAGTAATATGCTGATTTCACACTAATATTTGAACTAAAAAGTTGAAGAAACTGGATGCTGACAAGCTTCCCTCCCTGGTGGTACTTTAACACTAATCAATAAACTTCATTAAATCAGAACCCTTAAAGCTTCCTTAAATTTATGTTTTGCTTCACATTTTCTAGCCAAAAAGCTTCCCGAGCCCTCCGGCTAGGTACCCTGCCAAAAGCATAAAGAAACAATACATTCCTGTTAAATCTCCCCTTGCTTTGTAAACAATCAGATAAAGACATAATAATGTACTACATCATTTATATAGACTAACATTTTTTCAAACACCATTTTCTTTGTCCCACTTTACTGAATGGAGTGATCTAATCCCAGCAGTTATAATTTCTAGTTACCTTATTTGGAACTCTCTAACAGAAACCTCCCTTTTCAATAAAAATACAGCACAAGAGCCACGCTTTCTAGAGTAAAATGTAAGTTTGACAGAATCTGGAAAAAGTTGCCAATTGCTTCCATATAGCACATCAATATGTCAACCTTTTTGAAATATCTCACAGTATAGCCATGTCCAGTAGCAAGAAACAGCATGTTCTCTGTTTTTCTTCATACAAATTCATCAGTTTCTCAGTGTTCAGCTACAGAGCTAAGTAATGCTTGCTGGGCTAACCACTCGAGAATCAGAAACACTCTTCTGGGTCTAACAGAGACACAGTGTCAGGGATTCAGTTAATTCATCCAGCACTAGCTGGATGATTTTTTTGTTGATACCAAATACCAAAGCCATGAATACACACAAGTGATGATGCAGATTACAAAAGATTTGATTTGATGCCCAGTTGTCAACACCTAACACCACCAACACAGCTGTCACTACTTAACATGACATGCAAGACTAAATGAATCATCTTCTAATAGTAAAGCCTCAAGCTGAAATCTAGTCAATCTATCCAGACCTCAGTATCTCCTGAATTACAACACTCGTGTTATAAATATGATGATAGAATCACAGAATCAACTAGGTTGGAAAAGACCTCTGAGATCATCGAGTCCAACCTATGATCGAACACTACCTTGTCAACTAGACCATGGCACTGAGTGCCACATCCATTCTTTTCTTAAACACCTCCAGGGAGGGTGACTCTACCACCTCCCTGGGGAGCCCATTCCAATGCCCAATCACTCTTTCTGTGTAGAATTTTTTCCTAATGTAGGAATAGATACATTTCCGGAAGAATTTGTAACAGGAAGTTAGAACTTGTTTCACTAGGAAGGCTTTCTGCCTAGGTGATGGCTCTTTCTCAAAGGCAGTTTCAATGTTTCCCCCTCCTTCCCCCTCCTCCCCCCTCCTCCCCCCCTCCCCTGCCACAGCAAGAAAAGTTCTCAGCCTTACTTTCCTTGCTCTCTGGTATGCAGAGAGATAAAATGTTTGCAGACATGTACATATACAAGGCCTCCTTGGGCCAGAGAGAGTGGGGGAGGAGAGAGAGAAGATACAAAAAGCCTTTTGCCCCTGGGGCCTGATGCATGCACCATCAAAAAAGTGGTCCTTGCATCTGAAATAAATCTTTTTTTTAATCCTTCCACTGCCGTGGCATTCTTGGGAAGAATATCTGCGTATGTTTACCTTACATTTTTGATGTAGAATCAGCAGATCCCCAGAATAACCATGCAGTGGTTGTGGAGAAGATCAAGGACTGGGGGGGCTGTGTCAATGACCCCCATGTTGTCAGATGGCCGGACAACGACCCTTGGGGCCCTGTGGCTGCCTTTTTCACGATGATGACTCCCCATGACACCTGGCTTGAAGTGAGGTCTGTGACAGAGACTGGCCTGCAAATGATTGAGGCAGTTCCACGTTTACTGCCGTGGGGTCCAGCGCGTAAATCTGCTTGGGTGCTGGCGAGCCAGGTGGGATGGTTTCTGGTGACCAGACTCAGAGCCCTTGACCAGGAGATTGTGGCCTTGAGGGGCCAAGTGGCAGCCCTGGAAGTGCAGGCGGGTGATCTGAGGCGGGTGTGAAGCTTGGAGCAGGCAGTGTTGGCAGCTCATGAACAGAACAGTTGGAAGCTGCAATGGCTTTTGCACCATTTGGTGTCCCACATTGCTGATATATAGCCAATGGAACAGGGAGCAGGTACTCCTTCCACTTCTTTGGTTTTTACCCATTACGGGGTTGCTGTGGAAACCCTGGGACAGGGGTGGAGGTGGTTTGATGGAGTCTTTGAAATCCACAGTTGGATTTGGCCCCGGGCCAGTGGACATTGGCCTGGGGCAGACCTTGCCTTGGCTGGGTTGTGTTTTGCCTGCCAAGGAGGTGCGGTTTGCTGAACCGCGCTCGGATGCTAGTTGGGAGGGGGCTGCGTGTTTGTTGGCCTTTGGTGAGCAGCAGATGAGGCCGCTGCGTTTTACAAGTCTTGCTGCAGGCTTGCGGGGAGAGATGCCCCCCTCCCTTTGCTTTCCCCCCTCCTTCCCCTGCAGCTCCAAGCGGCTGTGGCTCCTGGTGGAGGCTGGGGCAAAGGGGCAGCTCCGCAGAGCTGGGGCCCCGTGACACAGGAGGCCCCGCCCCCGCTCTCCGACCCCGCTCTCTGGTGCTGTGTTACCTTGGTGTTGAGGGGTCCTGGCTTTCCTGTATTGATGGGGTGTGCTGACCCCCTGGAAAGTTTTGTTTCAAATGTTCTGTTAAGAAAGATGGTTATCTATGGGTTTCTCATTTTGGTCGGGGGGGGGGAGGCTAACAGCAGCGCTTGGCTGACAGGTAGTGATGCCTTGGTCATTCCTGCAGATTTTGTTAAGCCTGCTCAAAGTTCATATAGTGTTTGGGGGGCAGCTGTTGTGTATAACCCTGGGGGCACAGTCCCCCATTTGCTCCTAGCTGCGATATCAGCTGTATTTACCTCACCACCTGCTGATGCAGGGTGGGTGCAAGGCCCTGCTAGCTTATACAGCTTCTTGGGGTACTGGGGAACCTTGGCTTCGCCCCTAGCAGCTTTACTGAGTGGCCTGCTAGGGTTGGCCGGAATGACAGCTGTTTGGCAGTGGGCCAAACACTGGCAAGGGGCTTTGTACCATTGTAGACTGGCATTCATGGCATCTGCACGACTATTTGATTGTATTTGAAGGCATTATGTGACCCTTGGAGGATGTTATGGGGAGTCAGTAGGTTTGCTCCTTGGCAGATGGCTGCCTTGACAGCCCCCCCCCCCCCTCCCCCGCTTCTCTTGGGAATACTTCTGCTGCATTCTTTGCTAACTGTGTTTCAGGTGTTTTCCACAAGCCCCAGGGCCTTCTCCAGGAGGGGAGGGGATCGACCTGTGTTTTGGGTTTCGGGCTTGCACTCCAATTGACTTCCTGCTGAGCACAACTGACACAGAGCACCTGTGATGTATGCACCTGAGTACTTTCCCAGTCCAGTTGCTGCCTTCTGCCTCACTGCTATGTGTGCTGTTCGAGCCTAATGGCTTGTACTGCTCCCACATAACTGCCAAACTGGCTGCGTTGAGACGGACTCTGACATCAACAGGACTCCATATGACGGTTAAGGCACCTTGCTGCCTGAATGGTTTAATACCACAGCAGAAGGACTGAGACATTTGCCTCCATGTGCCTTTTTACACTGTTACGTTCTATGTTTTTGATCCTGGTGAGGCAGCCTTCCTAAGCGAAGGGGTGGAGTGTAGGAATAGATACATTTCCAAAAGAATTTGTATCTGCCTAGGCGATGGCTCTTTCTCAAAGGCAGTTTCAATGCTTTCCCCTCCCCCCTCCCCCTTCCCCCCCACCACAGCAAGAAAAGTTCTCAGCCTTTCTCTCTGGTATGCAGAGATAAAATGTTTGCAGACATGTATGTGTACAAGGCCTCCTTGGGCCAGAGAGAGTGGGGGAGGAGAGAGAGAAGATACAAAAAGCCTTGGAGGAGGAGGGGCTTTGCCTTTTGCCCCTGGGGCCCAATGCGTGCACCATCATAAAAAGTGGTCCTTGCATCTGAAATAAACCTTTTTTTCAATCCTTCCACTGCCTTGGTATTCTTGGTAAACATACTTGTGTATATTTACCTTACACTAATGTCCAACCTAAACCTCCCCTGGCGCAGCTTAAGATTGTGCCCTCTTGTCCTGTTGCTAGTTGCCTGGGAGAAGAGACCGACCCTCACCTTGCTACAACCTCCTTTCATGTGGTTGTAGAGAGTGATGAGGTCTCCCCTGAGCCTCTTCTTCTCCAGGCTAAACAACCCCAGCTCCCTTAGCCACTCCTCATAGGACTTGTGCTCCAGACCCTTCACCAGCCTCGTTTCCCTTCTTAGGACATGCTCCAGTACCTCAACATCCTTCCTAAACTGAGGGAATGACTCAGGGAAGAGAAAACAGCAATTAAGAGGACTACTTCCTAGCCCTTGCCACTGGTCTTCCACATTCAGTACAGCCTACCACCCCTGCTGTATTAACATCCCTTGATGTAACTACAAAACAAAATTTTCCCCAAACTCTCACTGCTATTTCTCTTCTTCACCATGGTACTTTCTAGTACACCATATTGGGAGAAGGAGGGGTGGGTGCATGTATTTTTGTGGCACTTTTTGAATTGGAAGTTAATTTACGAGAGACCTTTTTATCATATATCTATTTAATAGTCTGATAATTTGCTGTGTGCCAAAACACTTAAACCTAAAAGAATCAGGCATATTTCATATGCTAGAACCAAAGACAGAACAAGCTTTTTATCAAGAGACGGGAACTTGTTATGATTTTCAGCATGCTATTTGGAGGGAAAAAAGTTCCCAAGTGGTGAAATAAAATACAAGTATTTAACTACTGCAAACAGCTCTAATATAAATTAAATTATTACTTACCAAAATCTACTCTTGTTAGTATGCACTGCATTGGATGGTCAGTTGTATGCCTCGTTGTTGTTGCACCACTCTCATAACAAGTTGCACACAAATCGTAATCGTAGCAAATTAAACACTTGTATCTGCGACCTCGAAAATTTCCTTTTAAACATGCATCACAGCTGACACCTGTGAACAAAGAAAATTGCTTGAAAACAATTATTTCACATTGGTTTAATGATACAGATTTGTTGCTATGGCCCCCAACAACAAAAGGAATTCAACCAAGAAGCTTTTATGGAGCTTATGCACAATAAGACTCAATTTTAAGCATATTTATATCTTCAAAAAGGCAATAATCATCCAAAGTGAAAGTCAAACTCAAAGTAAAATAAAAAAACAGTCAAGCACTCAAAATGATAATTTGTTAGGATATGAATTCATTTTAATCACTTTTTTCCACTGTTTGAAAGCTTGGTTCAAAACACTCTCGAGGTTAAAATAGTACAGTTTGTGAAAAAAACAAAACAAAGAAAAAGTCCACAGCAGACCATCCCGCAAGTCACACAAAACCACACACCACCACCACCACCACATAACACCACCTCTCCCTGGATTTTGTATTTATTTTTATACTTTCTCATAGTTAAATTCTGAAGAATGCCACAACCATTTTTCACAACATAAACATATCTGAGAGCAGAAATTTAGGTCTTCTATTTTGAAGTACAGAACAACTTTGAATACATCTTAATTTTACATTGCATCATCTCTTCAGCTTCTTCCTTTTGAAAGTTCAATCTTTGCACTGTAAATCAATCAGTCACACTGCCTGGGTGTGTGTGGGGGAAACAGTTCCCCCCCCTAGAGCTAAGAAAGTGGTAACCCCCGAAGGGGTGGTGACCCTTTGGGGTCGAGCCAATGAACGCTCCTGCAAAATATAAACATATCACTAAGACCGGAAGAGAAGGGTAGTAGTTGTAATTGTTGAAGGAGAGGTGACCATGTTGTGAGCCATGAGGAAGGGGCAGGAGCCCCTTCGGGGGGCCACAGCCCCCCAGCTCCCGGTTGGGGGGCTACAGGGACTTGGAACAGTGTAAGACTGGGCTAAATATCTGTAGCTGAGTTTTTCCTCTACCGTGGACAGCAGAAGCAGCAGCAAGAACAGCACTGACCGAGGAGAAGCGGTGGCAGAGAGCCAGCAGTAGATAAGGAGCAGCAAACAGACATTGCAGCCAGGCAAGAAGACACAGAGTTGTCTGAAGAGAAAGAGAGCAGCAGCAGAGAGAGAACTAAGTTCTACAGAGAGAGAGTTTTGGGGTAAGGACTCCAACCAATCCCCCCAAACTCCTTGGAGACCTCTCCTCTCATAGAGAGGAGGGGGTGGTGGACTTCCACCTGAGAGGAGTCCTGAAATGCAGCATGCTCTGCAAAGAGAGGAGCTGAGAAGCTCAGGCTTCCCGGAGCTGGACCGGGACAGCCAATGGAATGCGGAGGAGGGTTTCCCCTCCCTGCCACTGCCAAACTGGCAGTTTTGAGACAGAGCAAGGGAGCTCTGTAAGGGAACTTGAATCCCCTGAAGATACAGACTGTCGCGAAGACCCCTGCGCTTCGTGATATGACCGTGGTGGAGCAACCTTTTGTCTGGGTGAACGCAGCCCACGGAAGAGAAGACCCTCGTTTGGAGACGAAGGGCCGAGGGGCTTGGATATCCCCTCGTGTGTACTGGCAGAGATCCAGATACAGCTGCTGCATGGAAGAGAGAAACTGCTGCCTTAGAGGGACTGCTGCTCTGAGAGAGGAAAGGATGTTTCCCTTCTTCCCTCCTGGACTTTTATTTGGAAGGGAGAAGAGATTTGATCCATTGTAAATACTGTATGTCATGGTAGAGATAGTTAAGATTGTATATGATGTATTATACTATTTATTTGTTGTACAGTCTTGTAATATATCCCTTTCCCCCCATTTTGAGTCTTGTGGAAAACCCATCTCACACTGGGTTGAGATGTGGGAGGGGGGCTAGGACTCAGGAATTGGATTTTGGGGCTCTCAAACCATGACACTGGGTCAGGAAAAAGCTTCATTATCTTCTAAAGGTTTTTGCAATTTTCTTTATTTCAGTTCTCTGCTGTTTATTTAGATAAGGGCAAAGGAAGCATCATCAAGGCCCACAAAAACTTCCTTTGATTGCAATAGTAAATTAAAGGCCTTCATGATAATATCTAGTGTGTACAACATGTGATATTTTGATCAAAGTCCTCTTTTAGGATCAATTTAAAAAAGCTCTTCTTAGTTCAGTGCAAATGCAGAAAATGTCTTAGAAACAATGTTATTGGAAGAAAGCACCAACATTGACTCCAAGAGGATTAGTAGAGAAAGATCATCAAGATCTCAAAACTGCAAATATCCCAATGGTCATTTCCTAATTATAAACTTTATTATCAGATAAAAACCTAGTATTAACACAAGTCACCACTACTACCCATGATGTCAGGTCCAGAGAACAAAATTAAATTACATAGAATTCTCACAACATCTCTACAAGACAGTATTTCTTCATATCATTCTAAAATACCATGTTTTCATTTTGATAACCTGACATCAGGTGGCGTAACATACTACTTTCATACCCTTTAATGTAACAGGAGAGAAAAGCATCAAGAAAAAAAATCCTCATAAATTCAGCTCTGTTCTTTTTAACCCATACATTTCGTTAATTAAAATTTTAGGAGTTTGCCTCTCTGCACCTTAAAAACAAAAAAATATAACCCCCCCCAAAAACACTGAAAGATAACAGAATGACAAACTGAACGGAATGCATCCTTTGAGGAAAAACACACACTTGTGAGGGGTTCAATTATAAGCAGGGAACAAAGTGAACAAACGAATAAAAAAGCTGTGAAAAGAATTCAGCTTTGTCATGAAGTTCTGATTTACATGATGGGATGGTGACTTTTTAAAAGCTTTTAAAATTATTTCCTATTCAATGGAAACTGTTTTTCTGCACCTTCTTCAGAATGGCCTTATGGAAATTATCACAAAAGAGAAATAATCTGGTTTATTTTTAAATAAAGTTTTTGATGCATTTTACTTTGAAAATAGCAAGGAGACTTTTTAAGTTTTTCTACTGTCAATTACCAATACATAAATATACATGTAGACTGATTAACAGGCCCGAATAATGACATTTATACCAGTGTACCCTCACCTCACTATCAGAATAACTGGGGCTACCAAGTTTAATTAAAAAACTTGTTGCTCATGGATAAAAATATGCTTGCTTTTTAATGCAACAATATTCCACTAAAGGGTAGTATTAAGCTAAAAGCCTAAAGATTTTTGACTCGTTATACCTTTTAATGATCAAATCTCATTCCTAAAGCCATTTTCAACAGTATTCCCTTCTCGGGAATGTTAATCAGTTTCTACACGTAAGCATTTTGAACTTATGGATGAATCAAGAGATGCATAACAGTCCCATGAATTAAAGAGAAAAAAAAAGGTTGCTTTGCTTAAACACATTGGACTCACTATTCTGGTATATCAAGTTAAACACACTTTCTGCCTCTACCATAGCTAAAAATTTCAGAGAAGTTATCATACAAGCATTTTATATGCAACATGCTTAATATTAACATATTAAATATATATAGTCCCATATTTATTCTCATCTTCCCAATCAAATATAATTTATTCTTATGCTATAACATTTGGTTAATCCCTAATAAAACTAAACGGAAATGAGGAGCTAAGTATTCATCAGACTAAGATGAACTTCTGATCTAACGTCTAGAAAAGGAGACCAGTGCTACATAATATTAGGGTTCAAATATCACCTCACACTGGGATTGATTTTTAAAATTACAAACAAAACTAAGGTGTGAAATCCAATAAGATAACCTGAATACCTAAAATGAAAAACTGAGTAGCCTTAAATAAGCAGAAATAACAACTTGCTTTCTCTTTGAACAGTAAAGACTTTTCCATTTGACTCCCCAATAATATTAGGAGCAGGTAAAAATAACATTGGAAAGTTCACATTACGCTTACACAGGATACAAAAGACTTCAGGCTTATGAAAAGACCTCAGGAATAGCATTTCAAGGACATCTGCTGCCTTAAAAAGATAAGAGACACTTAACAGTGCCACAGGAAATTAATTTGGAAGAACTGTTGCTTGAAAGTGAAAAAGGACTTTTTCTCCTTTCTTCCTGGACTCTTTTTTGAAAGAAAGGAGGGACTTAATCTAATGTAATATATTACTTTACTATAGAAGAGATAGTTAAGTTGTTACATGTATATAAATGTGTATAATAAAATTTGTAAATATTTCCCCTCCCCTTATACCAAGTTGTGTGTGTGTCTGAAAACTACTTCTCTCTCTCACATTAGAACAAATTGTAACAAATCTTTTAAATTAGCTTTTTAAAATTCCTTTTTTTAAACCACCACAATCATCTAGGTTAGAGGTGTCACCAAGGTTAAGTCAGCCTATGAACCGTGTCAAAACCACTTCCATAAAGAAAAAACAGATGAGTTCTTGTCAGAAGAGACTCTCTTCTAAAGGGAACAGAAAGTCAATTTTTTTTAAGGAAAGTATGCTGCCTTCCTGGGGCCCAGCTTAAAGACATGGTGAGGAAACTTCCTACCCCGGTACAGCCCTCAGATTACTATCCATTATTGCTTTTTTATGTAGGCAGAGATGAAGTTGCAATAAGTCCAAGGACAATCAAAAGAGACTTCAAGGCCTTGGGACAACTGGTTGAAGGATCAGGAGCACAAGTAGTGTTCTCCTCTATTTTTCCAGTTGCAGGGAAGGATGAAGGAAGAAACAGGAAGAGCCAGCAGATCAATACCCAACTCCGAGACTGGTTTCACCAACAGAACTCTGGGTTTTTTGATCATGGGTTGATCTACATGACACCAAGCTTGCTGGCAACAGACAGGGTACACCTTTGTCAAAGGAGGAAACAGATCTTTGTACAGGAGTTAGAAAGGGTCATCGAAATAGCTTTGTCCTGGTTCTGGCCAGGACAGGGTAAATTTTTGTAGCAGCCAGGAGGGGCACAGCCAGGACCCTTGAGTTATTCTATACCACCTCACGTCACATGCAGGGGACGGATGGCAGTGGGTACCCTTCTGGTTTGGCTGGTGCGCAGACTGTGCGGTTGGGTGGCGTCGGGTTCCAC